TGGTCTGGTCTCTGGTCTGGTCTGGTAGGTGATAACAGTCATTTCGAAACTGGTTTTATTATGATTGAGAATCTCACAAGGAAGTTCAAAGTTTTACAGCACTTTATAGTTCAAAGAAGACGGGCTCCTGAGGACATGGGACAGGACATGGAGAGGACATGGAGAGAATATGGGACAGGACATGGAGAGGACATGGGACAGGACATGGAGAGGATATGGAGAGGACATGGAGAGGACATGGAGAGGACATGGAGAGGATATGGAGAGGATGTAGAGAGGACATGGAGAGAATATGGGACAGGACATGGAGAGGACATGGAGAGGACATGGAGAGAATATGGAGAGGATATGGAGAGGACATGGGACAGGACATGGAGAGGACATGGAGAGAATATGGAGAGGACATGGAGAGGACATGGAGAGAATATGGAGAGGATATGGAGAGGACATGGGACAGGACATGGAGAGGACATGGAGAGAATATGGAGAGGACATGGAGAGGACATGGAGAGGGACATGGAGAGGATATGGAGAGGATGTGGAGAGGACATGGAGAGGACATGGGAGAGGACATGGAGAGGACATGAAGAGGATATGGAGAGGATGTGGAGAGGACATGGAGAGGACATGGGAGAGGACATGGAGAGGACATGAAGAGGATATGGAGAGGATGTGGAGAGGACATGGAGAGGACATGGGAGAGGATATGGAGAGGATATGGAGAGGACATGGAGAGGACATGGAGAGGACATGGGAGAGGACATGGGAGAGGACATGGAGAGGACATGGGACAGGACATGGAGAGGATAGAGGACATGGAGAGGACATGGAGAGGACATGGGAGAGGACATGGACAGGACATGGAGAGGACATGGGAGGAGGGACATGGGACAGGACATGGAGAGGACATGGGACATGGACGGGACAGGGACATGGAGAGGACATGGAAGAGGACATGGAGAGGACATGGGAGAGGACATGGAGAGGACATGGGAGAGGACATGGAGAGGACATGGAGAGGACACATGGAGAGGACATGGAGAGGACATGGAGAGGACATGGGAGAGGACATGGAGAGGACATGGGAGAGGACATGGAGAGGACATGGAGAGGGACCATGGGAGAGGACATGGAGAGGCCATGGAGAGGACATGGAGAGGGACATGGGAGAGGACATGGAGAGGATATGGAGAGGACATGGAGAGGACACGGAGAGGACATGGAGGGGGACATGGAGAGGGACATGGGAGGAGGACATGGAGAGGACATGGAGAGGACATGGAATGAGGACATGGGGAGGGACATGGAGAGGACATGGAGAGGACATGGAGAGGGGGGACATGGAGAGGACATGGAGAGAGGACATGGAGAGAGGACATGGAGAGGGGACATGGAGGAGGGACATGGAGAGGACATGGAGAGGGGACATGGAGGGGGACATGGGAGAGGGACATGGAGAGGACATGGAGAGGACATGGAGAGGGACATGGGACATGGGGGGACATGGAGGGGACATGGAGGGACATGGAGGGGGGACATGGAGGGGACATGGAGGGGGGACATGGAGGGGGACATGGAGGGGGACATGGAGGGGGCATGGAGGGGACATGGAGGGGGACATGGAGAGGACATGGAGGGGGGACATGGAGGGGGACATGGAGGGGGACATGGAGGGGGACATGGAGGGGACATGGAAGGGGACATGGAGGGGGACATGGAGAGGGGACATGGAGGGGACATGGAGGGGGACATGGAGGGGACATGGAGGGGGGACATGGAGGGGGACATGGAGGGGGACATGGAGGGACATGGAGGGGGACATGGAGGGGGACATGGAGGGGGACATGGAGGGGGACATGGAGGGGGACATGGAGGGGGACATGGAGGGGACATGGAGGGGGACATGGAGGGGGACATGGAGGGGGACATGGAGAGGACATGGAGGGGACATGGAGGGGGGACATGGAGGGGGACATGGAGGGGACATGGAGGGGGGACATGGAGGGGGACATGGAGGGGACATGGAGGGGGACATGGAGGGGACATGGAGGGGGGACATGGAGGGGACATGGAGGGGGGACATGGAGGGGGGACATGGAGGGGGACATGGAGGGGGACATGGAGGGGACATGGAGGGGGACATGGAGGGGGACATGGAGGGGGACATGGAGGGGGGACATGGAGGGGGACATGGAGGGGACATGGAGGGGGACATGGAGGGGGACATGGAGGGGACATGGAGGGGGACATGGAGGGGGACATGGAAGGGGACATGGAGGGGGACATGGAGGGGGACATGGAGGGGGACATGGAGGGGACATGGAGGGGGACATGGAGGGGGACATGGAGGGGGACATGGAGGGGACATGGAGGGGGACATGGAGGGGACATGGAGGGGGACATGGAGGGGGACATGGAGGGGGACATGGAAGGGGACATGGAGGGGACATGGAGGGGGACATGGAGGGGGACATGGAGGGGGACATGGAAGGGGGACATGGAGGGGGACATGGAGAGGGACATGGAGGGGACATGGAGGGGGGACATGGAGAGGGGACATGGAAGGGGACATGGAGGGACATGGAGGGGACATGGAGGGGGGACATGGAAGGACATGGAGGGACATGGAGGGGACATGGAGAGGGGACATGGAAGGGGACATGGAGAGGACATGGAAGGGACATGGAGGGGGACATGGAGGGGACATGGAGGGGACATGGAGGGGGACATGGAGGGGACATGGAGGGGGGGACATGGAGGGGGACATGGAGGGGGACATGGAGGGACATGGAGGGGGACATGGAAGGGGGACATGGAGGGACAGGGGGACATGGAGGGGGGGAGGGACATGGAGGGACATGGGGGGACATGGAGGGACATGGAGGGGACATGGAGAGGGACATGGAGAGGACATGGAAGGGACATGGAGGGGGACATGGAGGGGGACATGGAGGGGGACATGGAGGGGGACATGGAGAGGGGACATGGAGGGGACATGGAGGGACATGGAAGGGGACATGGAGGGGACATGGAGAGGGGACATGGAGGGGGGACATGGAAGGGGACATGGAGGGGGGACATGGAGGGGGACATGGAGGGGGGACATGGAGGGGACATGGAGGGGGGGACATGGAGGGACATGGAGGGGGGACATGGAGGGGGGACATGGAGGGGGACATGGAGGGGGACATGGAGGGGACATGGAGGGGGGACATGGAGGGGGACATGGAGGGGGACATGGAGGGGACATGGAGGGGGACATGGAAGGGGACATGGAGGGGGACATGGAGGGGACATGGAGGGACATGGAAGGGGACATGGAGGGGGACATGGAGGGGGACATGGAGGGGGACATGGAGGGGGGGACATGGAGGGGGACATGGAAGGGGACATGGAGGGGGGACATGGAGGGACATGGGGGACATGGAGGGGGGACATGGAAGGGGACATGGAGGGGGGACATGGAAGGGGACATGGAGGGGGACATGGAAGGGGACATGGAGGGGGGACATGGAAGGGGACATGGAGGGGGGACATGGAAGGGGACATGGAGGGGGGACATGGAGGGGGGACATGGAAGGGGACATGGAGGGGGGACATGGAAGGGGACATGGAGGGGGGACATGGAAGGGGACATGGAGGGGGGACATGGAGGGGGGACATGGAAGGGGACATGGAGGGGGGACATGGAGGGGGGACATGGAAGGGGACATTCAGGGGGGACATGGAGGGGGGACATGGAAGGGGACATGGAAGGGGACATGGAGGGGGGACATGGAAGGGGACATGGAGGGGGGACATGGAAGGGGACATGGAGGGGGGACATGGAGGGGGGACATGGAAGGGGACATGGAGGGGGGACATGGAGGGGGGACATGGAAGGGGACATTCAGGGGGGACATGGAGGGGGGACATGGAAGGGGACATGGAGGGGGACATGGAAGGGGACATGGAAGGGGACATGGAGGGGGGACATGGAGGGGGGACATGGAGGGGGGACATGGAAGGGGACATGGAGGGGGGACATGGAGGGGGGACATGGAGGGGGGACATGGAGGGGGACATGGAGGGGGGACATGGAAGGGGACATGGAGGGGGGACATGGAAGGGGACATGGAAGGGGACATGGAGGGGGACATGGAGGGGGACATGGAGGGGGGACATGGAGGGGGGACATGGAAGGGGACATGGAGGGGGGACATGGAGGGGGGACATGGAGGGGGGACATGGAGGGGGGACATGGAAGGGGACATGGAGGGGGGACATGGAGGGGGGACATGGAAGGGGACATGGAGGGGGGACATGGAAGGGGACATGGAAGGGGACATGGAGGGGGGACATGGAAGGGGACATGGAGGGGGGACATGGAGGGGGGACATGGAGGGGGGACATGGAGGGGGGACATGGAGGGGGGACATGGAGGGGGGACATGGAAGGGGACATGGAAGGGGACATGGAGGGGGGACATGGAAGGGGACATGGAGGGGGGACATGGAAGGGGACATGGAGGGGGGACATGGAAGGGGACATGGAGGGGGGACATGGAGGGGGACATGGAGGGGGGACATGGAAGGGGACATGGAAGGGGACATGGAGGGGGGACATGGAAGGGGACATGGAGGGGGGACATGGAGGGGGGACATGGAGGGGGGACATGGAAGGGGACATGGAGGGGGGACATGGAGGGGGGACATGGAGGGGGGACATGGAGGGGGGACATGGAAGGGGACATGGAGGGGGGACATGGAAGGGGACATGGAGGGGGGACATGGAGGGGGGACATGGAAGGGGACATGGAAGGGGACATGGAGGGGGGACATGGAGGGGGGACATGGAGGGGGGACATGGAGGGGGGACATGGATATCAGATAAAGGGGGAAATCCATACCAACAGTCCCTGTCATTTCTAAATAAATAAATAAAAAATAAACTAGAGCTTCATGGCCTGGACTTCGCAGTGTAACATTCCGTTTCGTCATGTTATCAAGTATTCTTTGCTTTCATTTCTTCAGCGTTTCAGATGTGAGGATGTGATTGGTCAGTATTCCCGAGCTGCACGCTGATTGGTTCTCCCTTGTTTCCGGGGGCTCCGCTGCTTTCACTGACGTTTCTTCGGTCTGCCCCAAGACAGACTGGAGAGAATGGCTGCCAGTGGAGGTTGGCTAAAATCATTGCTTTCGACACCGGTTTGCCTTAAATTGTGTGTTTTTGACGTAGATTGTGTTGTTTATGAGACGGGTTGTGTGTCGCTGTGAGACCGTCGCTACTTTTTCAATCGAGTTGTGTTAAAAATGATTTCTAAAATGTTGGTAATCGTTAGCATGAAAGCGGCTAGTGTTAGCTCTGTGGCTAACACCGGCTAGCATAAGCCCTGCACAGCTGATGGTGTAAACATTTCTGTGATAGTCGGTTTAACGCGGCTGACATGACACTATACTCACATATTTCGTGATTTTATGGTTTTATTTAAGTTATGCATGTATGTGATGTGATCTCCCATGCGTAGAATGACTTTTTAATGCGCAGAACTTGGTAAAAAGATCTCTGTTAGCATTAGCTCGCTGCTTAGCTCTCTGCTAAAAAGTTATGCCCTCATGATCTGGGTTATAAACAAGACCTGTTCTGATTCTTGCACAGTAAGTGTCGGACTGTGTGTGGCTTGTCTGTGTGGGTACGTGGCCGTGTTTACCCAGAGCCACAGATTCACATCGACTTTGGAAAATCGAACTGGAACAATCAGTGTTAGCAGCTAGCTTCCCCCACCTGGCCACACTCTTTCTCTGTATCCTCTGCTCCCTCCACTTGTTGTGACCCAGTGCTCTCTTCACCTTGTTGTTTTAAATGGGCTTGAATACAATTACAGAGATGCCCTGAGTTGGTATGGTTTTAGTTGGTTTCTTGATTGAATCATAGAAAAGATACTTCAGCAAAATTCATCATTGTTCTGTGTCCTGAGTGTGTCGTCACGATAACAATGCGTTTTATTATTATGCAGATTCCATCACATGTTTGTGCAGTGAGACATGGTTTCAAGACTCAAACAGCAGCACACACACAGGAGCTATGACAATGTTTTCAACACACACACTGGAGCTATGACAATGTTTTCAACACACACACACACACACACACTACTATGACACATATTTACACACTCACCTCTGGAGCTATGACAAAAGTAGGCACGTTTTCAAATCACACACTTGGGTCAGTTTCTTCAAATCATGCACCTCTTTTTTCTGACTCTAGGCCATCACTTTAAAGCTGCATTACCTGACTTTATTTTCGTATTCTTTACAAAAATTCAATCCATATCCATGCAGTGCATTGGGATATATGTCCTTTTGAAGAAAAAGTAGCGCAGATTTGTGCTGGCGTGTCATTTTATTTTAGATCAAGTTTTTGTGAAACAAGGAAGAGAATTTGTTTCGGTCCAGATTGTGACCAATCACAGCGGACCACTGGTCCCCACTTTCTTGAGAAAAGCTACAGGTCTCTTGTTAGCACAGACAGCTGAGGTAAACAAGCGGCGGAGGCTAACCTGAAGCTTCCCGTGTCTTCGTTACCGGTTACTGCTTACTCAGGGAAACAGGGCAACTGCTTACTCCGCGCTTCCCAGTTCTATCATTCTATGGTCACGCCATCCACGTTCAAATGTGCGATCCATATTGTGAGACGTGAGCTCCGTATACATTTAGCACATTAGCACAGGCTGAGGGGGAGGGGGGTAATGGGGGGGGGGGAAGCTCCGTGGGTGCGGGGGAGGGCGAGCAAAAAGAGCGAGCCAAGCGCACAGAAAATTTCTCAAAGTCTGTTAGTGCAGATTTAAGTATACATTGGATATGATTTGTCCATGTTTAGCTCGTGTCTAAGGCCACAAATAAAAGTTGGGTGCGTATTTTAATATCAAAATCTTGCATTCTGTCGCTTTTAAGGTTTCTCAATCCACTTTCTAGCTCCATGGAAACATGTAAGGATGTGCCACCTCCTAAAGTTAAATAGCGTCGCCTTCAGCTCCTTGTGCGAGTGTGGTGTGTTTGGCTGAACCTTTTTGTCACTGTAGGGGCTCCTGGTCACATTGTCCTGGGACCCTTTATTGGCTTCTGAGGAAAGAGATGGCAGAGATTTGCCTTCAACACTGGACAAAGTGCAGCTCTGGTACAGTGGCGAGCGCACAAAGCGACGATAGCTGTCCATCTTCATGAGTTTAAAAATCTGTAGAGAAGACAAAGGTGAGTGGGATGGTCCGACGTCAGCAGAGGGACAACAGACCTGAGCCTGAGCCTTGGTAAACATGTCGGGTGTAGGCTGCTCCAAGTCCTGCTCCTCAATTCGAGCAGAGTCATCGATGTTCACAGAATACGGAGCGCTCTCAGACAGATACATGTTGAACATGGAACAAGCCGAAGTCTTCAGCTAAGATAAACAGCATATAAGAAACTGTTTTAAACAATTCAAGTAAAACATAACATTATGCATTTTATAACATAGCAGTTATATCATGTAATAGCCAAACCTCATTCAAAGATGTGGCTGGGATTTTCTTGAACTTTTCACAGGCCTGCCAAAATAAGATGTTCTCTGCACTGACCTCGGACATCAGAAAGTCCTGTGGAGAAGCACAGTTCAAACCAAAACAATACGTAAGTCACTGTGTACTTGTCTCACCGTGAAGTATCGAACACCACAGGGGTCCTCCAAGAGGTTTTCAAAAGAGACTGCCCATCTGAGCACACTGTTGGCTGGTCCCTCTCCTCCTGGGGTCCCGGGAAGACTAGAACTACTGCCTCCACAGCTGCGCGCAGACATGTTTAGCTCTACAGCCCACCAAACACACCCATTAGTGAACAAACGCATGGCAGACGTGAGAAAAGCAGAAATGTGAGTGTCATGCAACAACATGTCGAGCGGCAGAGCGACTTTTGGCAGCGAGTGTTTACCTCCATCTGACACCGCCTGAGTCTGCAAGAAAGACAGGATAAGAGAAGCATTACTTTACCTCGGAATCAGCTGTAAATGTGCAATCAGTCAAGACTTTACCAGTGACAAAAGGTGAGTTAGAACGGTTTCAAATGGACGCTTTTGAAACAACTTAAATCAAGGAATTGTGTTTTTGGTCGTTTGTGTCCCAATTCATTTCAACTTTAAGGGAAAAAGATGAATTTTCTCACAGAATACAGTTCCTATCTATGAATAAGAATGTGCTATAATAGAAAACAATAGCATACTACAGATTAATATTAGGCTATGGCATAAAAAACATAAGATTACAAACACCTAAAATATGTATAATAACAAAAATATTTTACCATCTTTTATAGATACAAATCTACATAACACGAATAATGACTTGATCAATTCGAGTATTCATTAATAGGCATGTAGTATGTAATATGAAAACAATTCTGCTGAAGGGCCATGGGCGGCCGAAACAGCACCTCAGCAGAGAAAAGCAGTGGCAGCTCATAGCTGCACATTTTCATAAGTTTGTGCCTTCTCTTTTGCATGTATCCAGCAACAGTTAATGACAAAGAAACAAAATAACACTGAATCAACAGCTGTTCCAAACATTTGCAAGTTGTCCTACACATAACAGACAGCTGCAGTTCTGTCCCCGACTCAAGATCAGAACTGAAGCTGATATTGTGGCCAAAAAGAAAAAATAAGTGATACTAGAAATGAAAAACACGCTCAAGTGTTTCACACTCACCATATTCCCCAAAGTATTATTCTGTGACATCTTGAACAGTCACAATCCCAAAGTATTGTCTGATATTCAGTGTCTGACAAAACCAAGAACTCCACCCATTCATACTGTCAAACACTCATCGTTTTTTCACTTCCTGCCACTTCCTGTCAGAAAGGGAAGTCTTAGCAACTCACCACAAAAGAGGAAGTTTGGTTACACTGATCACACTGCTCTGACTCTTGAGAAATATGTGTGGGTACATAATTACAGCTGTGAGCACCTCGGCCTCCCATTGCTCTTGTGCAAAAGTAGTGGGCATTTCAGTGACTGTGCGACAGGTTTTAGAAGGTTTGATATTACGATGCTTTTAAAAAGGTTGACCTATCAAGCAGTCATTACAGCTCAGAAGAGGTTAATAGTGTCAAGCCCTTGTCAGAATGGTTGTCACCGTGTAACTCCATTTGGGTCGAGTGGCTGAAGAGTTGAATGTGAGTTTTGAACATTAAAATGATTTCTTCCAATATCGGTGCAATGTATTTGTTGATCTCGTCGTCTCATGGCAACCAGTTTAATTTAGTGTCCAAAAGGCTCTATCCAAACCCATATCCTGGGTCACAACTATGAACAATCTCCCCCTATTCTGTAAAGCTGCGGGTGGATTACGTTTTGAGTAGTTTGACTCTTAAATCTGCCTCTTGGATAATACAGAGACCCTTCTCCATCTTTTTTGGAGATGATGTTGGTGTGAAATATTACTGGAACAGTGAGTCATGTATGGTCACTCTTCCGCTGCAGAGTTGAACCCAGAGTGACTGGATATCTCCCTTTAGCCCCAGGTCCCAATATATCCAAACTAGTGCTGTCCAACGATTAAAATATTTAATCGCATGAATTTCATAGTTAACTCGCGATTAATCGCAAATTAGTCACACATATGTGTGGGTGTGTGTGTGTATGTGTGGGTATAGACCATAGACTGTATAGAAACACCATGGTGTCATTATGATGATGATAAACAATCTGTAAATATTTTGTAAATTTGTTCATGTAAATACTCTATGCTGTTTCTCTGTTTACTTTCGGTATATCTATGACTGTATACTGTTTGCTTGTATTGCCTTTTTTATTAACCCCTCCCCCCCATCTCCCACTTCATGTCCCCCCCCTCCTATGCAGTGTTGTGCCAGTTCACAGCTTTTCTGAACAAGTTCAAGTTCAGTTCATACATGCTCAAAGTGAACAGAACACGTTCAAAGTTCACATTTTTAATTCTGAACTAGTTCAAAGTTCAGTTCATTTTACTTTTTTCGTGAGATAAATACATATTTTTTTCACACTACGAGCTATATGCACAGTGCCTTGCGAAAGTATTCGGCCCCTTTACAGTTTACATTTGACAAAGTATAGACACACGCACTGCAGCGCATTACTGTCTGTAGTTTATGAGCAGAGATGGAGCAACTCCGTTTGGCTCCCATTGAAAACCATGTAAATCTTGTCTGTTTTGTAGTCAAAAGGCTCTCCTCCTGTGGGTGTTCAGGAGATATATATATATATATATATATATACAGTGCCTTGCGAAAGTATTCGGCCCCCTTGAACCTTTCAACATTTCGCCACATTTCAGGCTTCAAACATAAAGATATAAAATTTAAATTTTTTGTCATGAATCAACAACAAGTGGGACACAATCGTGAAGTGGAACGAAATTTATTGGATAATTTAAACTTTTTTAACAAATAAACTGAAAAGTGGGGCGTGCAATATTATTCGGCCCCTTTACTTTCAGTGCAGCAAACTCACTCCAGAAGTTCAGTGAGGATCTTTGAATGATCCAATGTTGTCCTAAATGACTGATGATGATAAATAGAATGCACCTGTGTGTAATCAAGTCTCCGTATAAATGCACCTGCTCTTTGATTGTCTCAGGGTTCTGTTTAAAGCACAGAGAGAACCATGAAGACAAAGGAACACACCAGGCAGGTCCGAGATACTGTTGTGGAGAAGTTTAAAGCTGGATTTGGATACAAAAAGATTTGTGGCTATGTCCCACAAGCTTTTAAAACCGCGGTAATCAAACCCCTTCTGAAGAAAACAAACCTGGACCCAGAAATACTTACAAACTACAGACCGATCTCAAACCTCACTTTTATATCTAAAATCCTGGAAAAACTTATAGCTGAGCAGCTCCGCTGCCACCTGCAGGAAAATGATATGTTTGAAGTCTTTCAATCAGGATTCAGAGCTCATCATAGCACTGAAACGGCACTAGTCAAAGTCACAAATGACTTACTACTAGCTGCCGATAATGGACAAGTGTCAGTGCTGGTCCTACTGGACCTTAGTGCTGCATTTGACACAATAGACCACAGCATTCTACTGTAGAGGCTAGAATGTGATATAGGTCTTAGAGGAACAGCCCTTGGCTGGTTTAAATCCTATTTATCAGATCGATATCACTTCGTCAATGTGAATCAGGACTCGTCGCCTTATTCTGGAGTGGAATTCGGTGTGCCGCAGGGTTCGGTACTCGGACCGATTCTTTTTACTCTCTACATGCTGCCACTGGGAAACATTAAAAAGCATGGAATTAATTTCCACTGCTATGCAGATGACACACAGCTTTATCTGTCGATGAAGCCTAATCAGACAGATCAGCTAGAAAAGCTCAGTGCCTGCATAAAGGACCTTAAAATGTGGATGACTCTTAACTTCCTACTTCTCAACCCGGAGAAGACAGAAGTGATCCTACTCGGTCCGAAGCGCCTGCGTGACTCCCTCACTAACCAGATGGTTACTCTCGATAATGTCAGTATAATACCCAGTAACACTGTGAGGAATCTTGGAGTCATTTTTGACCAAGAACTCTCCTTCAAGGCTTATATAAGCCAAGCAACTAAAACGGCGTACTTCCACTTACGGAACATCGCTAAAATTAGGAATTTCCTTCCTAAAAGTGACGCGGAAAAACTCATTCACGCGTTTGTCACCTCAAGGCTCGACTACTGTAACGCTTTACTGGCAGCGTGCCCTAAAGCCTCTTTGAAGAGCTTCCAGCTCGTTCAGAATACAGCAGCTAGGATCTTAACAGGTACCAAAAGGAGGGAGCACATAACTCCGGTGTTAAAATCACTCCACTGGCTCCCTGTGGAGTACAGAATAAAGTTTAAAATCCTACTCTTAACATATAAAGCCATAAATGGCTTGGCTCCTTCTTATCTCCAAGACACGTTAGTGTCGTATCAACCAAGTCGAGCGTTGCGCTCACAAAACGCCAGACGTCTGGTGGTCCCTAAGGTCTCAAAGGTCACTGTTGGTGGCAGAGCATTTAGCTACCAAGCTCCTTTACTGTGGAATCAGCTTCCCATTTATGTTAAGGAAGCAGATACGGTCTCCACATTCAAGGTCAGGCTTAAAGCACTTTACTTTAATTTAGCATATAATTAGGTAATATATAATATGTAGTGTATATATTATATATATATGCTGTATTATGTTATATATTATGTTATATATTATTCAATAATGTATTGTGTTATGTTGTATATTATGTTATATATTATGCTGTATGTTATTCTTTATTCAAGGCTAGGTTTAAAACAGTCCTCTTTAGTTTAGCATATGGCTAGGAAGGTAAGACTCGGAGAAGGTTAAACTCCTCAGAGTGTTAGTCAAGCTGCATAGGGCGCCCCCTGCTGGAGAAGTATGGTAACTTGAGCACTATCCTCTCCTCCTTCCTACTTTATCTGTTTAGCATTTTTAGGATTCTGACTGTAGTTTGTTCATTGCTATTCACCCGTTGTCCCATTGTCTGTTTCATGGTACGATGACGGGATCTCTGAGCCTGGCCTCTTCCATCTACACCTGCGGACTGCCCCGCCCGACCCGCCTGGGAGTGCTTCAGTCCTGCACCGGACCTGTCCACGTTCAGCGTCCACTGGTCCACGTTCTGTAGCTAGCTTAGGTCCTAGATCATTAGCCTGTCCGTCCGGAGGAGCGGATCCCTTTCTCATATGGGTCTCCCTCCCTGTGGGTTTCCCTAGTTCTCCCCAAGGTTTCTCACTTTTTCCCACTGGGTTTTTTAAGAGTTTTTCCTTGTGGATGCAGGAGGGTCTTGTTGGACAGTTAGTGTCCAACAGAAAGGATTGGTGATGATCAGGACACTTTAGCATTCTACAACATGTATGGACATTTTCTTCTGTGTGTGCTTTATACTGTATTCTTCATGTGTTTTAACTGTTGATTCTCTGACCTGTGTTGGTGATTTCAATGGTTTTGTTAAGTCCTCTGAGATGACTTCTGTTGTGACCTAGGGCTATACAAGAATAAATTGTATTGTGTATTGTATTGTGTGGTTCAGAGTCGGCAGTAGCTGTTGTCATGTAGATGATTCTGTTGTTGTGTAAACTTAACTTTTCAGAGCTTTAAGTTGTACGTAAGTAACACAGAGAAAGTCTTAAGTTTAACACCGCCTCCAGGCCTTTTTGTGTAGAGTTTTCATTTTCTCCCCGTCTCTGCACAGGTTCCCTCCAGGTGCTCCGGTTTGCCCTACCAGTAAAAACCTGCAGAATAGGTCTGGCACGTGCCTCCATGCGACGACCCTGCTCCGTCGCTGTGTGGAGTGAGCGCTTTGTGACTTCTCATATCAAACCACTGCCCAAAACTCAAAGCCCAAAAGTACACAAGGATTTCAGACCCATTGCTCTAACCTCAGTCATTATGAAGGCCTTGGAGAGAATCTTGCTAAAACATCTTCAAAGTTCAATTAGTGCCAAACTGGATCCTTTTCAGTTTGCGTATAAAACAGGTTGTGGCACCGAGGATGCTGTTGCTTCCCTCATCCACACTATCACCAAACACCTCGACAAATCCAACAACTACGCAAGAGCTCTCTTTCTGGACTATTCATCTGCCTTCAATACAATAAAACCGGACATTTTGATTTAGAAACTCTCCCATCATGAAGTTAATCCCTATTTGATTCACTGGTATGCATCTTTCCTCATCAACAGAGTCCAGCTGGTCAAAGTAAATGATACACTCTCCTCTGCCATCACAACCTCTGTTGGAGCCCCCCAGGGCTGTGTAAGCTCAGCTCTGTTGTTCACCATATACACCGACGATTGTCGAACTACTTCAAACTATCAACACATCTTCAAATATTCGGATGACACGGTCCTGGTGACCCTTCTGTCAAATACTGACAGTCCTGGGCTGCACCAGCAGGGCATAGACAAGGTTGTGATTTGGAGCAAAAACAACGCTCTGGAAATAAACACCAAAAAAACAGAGGAGGTGGTATTTAGTTTAAACCCAGTAACCACAGCTCCCACTATCATCAACAACGAGCCAATCAAACAGGTGGAGTCATTCAAATATCTGGGTGTGGTCTTAGACTGTTCCTTGTCTTGGAAACACCACATTGACTTCATCTGTAAAAAGACTAAACAAAGAATATATTTCCTCCGTCGCCTGCGGTCTTTTGGAGCGTCTCGTCAGGTGTTGCTTCTGTTCTTCACTTCTGTGATTCTCAGTGTCCTGCAGTACTGTAACGCTGTGTGGTACAGCTGTCTCTCTGTCACTGCTAAATCTGGACTGAGACACTTGATTAAAATCTGCTCAAAGATTGTAGGACAGCCCCTGGATGGACTGTACGAGGCTGCATACCATAGCAACACACTGCGACTGGCTAAGAACATCACTTCAGACCCCGGCCATGTTCTGAACCTCGAATATGCGCTGTTACCATCAGGGCGGCGGTACCGTGTGCCACATTTTAATAAAGTCAGGTTGAGGAACTCCTTTGTCCATCAGTCCATCCTGAAGCTAAACGAGGATCTTAAGTCATAAAATCAAAGTGTGTTATGGCGAGCGGACAATTGTTTATAATGTCTTTGTGAATTGTCTTATACCTGTATGTCTTGTTTGTATTTTTACGGAGCTGCTGAACTGCAAAACAAATTTCGGATCCTTGTATCTGAAATAAAGCATTTATCTATCTATCTATTTATGAAAGGCCCTATTTACGATAAAGCTTCAATTCCAAACCTCAAAACCTCTGTATCTCCCACAAAACAAAGCTTTTAGAATCATAAACAGAAAGGGCTTCAGAGACAACACAAATAACTTGTTTATAAAATCCAGACAACTTAAGATCAAAGATCTGGTTTAAATGTTAATTGTGTGGAAAGACAAACACAAACTCTCGCCTGAAGTCGTTCAAGAGAGATTAAAACTTATATCACCGGAATCACAGAAGAAAATATGATTTAAAAACTGCATTTGCAAAGACTTCTATGAAACAGAAGTCTTTGGTGTCGGAAGTTTGGTGTCGGAACGGAGCGACTGAAATGTGCTTCTATAATGTTAAAAAAGTGTGAAAAATGGAAAAAATAACTGAATGTGAAGAAAATAAAAATATCTAAGTGTGCAGTAAGTTTGTAGTTATTGAATAGAAGGAAAAATGCTGGATTGGTGAAAATGTCGGGGGTGAAATGTTAAAATGTCTTTGCTAAACAAGGGACAGGGTTTATGGCTTTGTGTCTTCCTTCTGTTCCTGTTTGTTTATGTTGCACAGACGTAAAGGGAATATTCATGATGCTAGTGTGATATGGACAAATAACAAATGCATAAATATATCTGTTAACCTCAAACATTGTTCCTGTCTGCAGGAGAGCGTCCAGCTAAGACCGACCCCACAACATTCACTTCTGTCTGCCTCCATACTGGATAAGAATACAGGCATAATACAGGCTTTATAAAGACATAATAAAGACATAATAAAGGCTTAATAAAGGCATAATAAAGGCATAATAAAGGCATAATAAAGACATAATAAAGGCATAATAAAGACATAATAAAGGCATAATAAAGGCATAATAAAGGCATAATAAAGGCATAATAAAGGCATAATAAAGGCATAATAAAGGCTTAATAAAGGCATAATAAAGGAATAATAAAGGCTTAATTAAGGCATAATTAAGGCATAATAAAGGTATCATTCACTCATTATTTAACGTTGAGTCAGAACTAAACATGAAGGGGCAGCATTTCAGATTCATTCAGCTAAAATCTGCAACAGTCTTCCAGAAAATGTGAGACAGGCTAAAATAACAGGTCTGTTCAGCTGCATTCAACTGAGGGATTATATATTTACTCTTTTTAATGTACTGTGATTATTTATGACTTTAACGCCTTGTGAGTCTGTCTCTGTGTGTTGTGTATGACCTCGCCTCACCATAGTGCATTAGTTTAAACATATGCTTTTATTTCAAGGTCTCTATCATTACAGCAGGCACTTCAAAGACAAGTTCTCTGTTTTTTCCCAAAGTTGAGTTGGAACCGTTGATAAAATGGTTCTCCTGTGAATGAAGAAAGGAAAAGAAATGGGAAAACAGCTTCAGCTCTAAAGCCTTTTGTTGGGGCTTTCCTTTACTTTGTTCCCATTACCGGACACTATTGTGGGAAGTTTTTGGGGGCTTGGGCAAAAACAGCACGTCGTCATGGCAACTGGACTCCATACTAATTGTCTCCTTCAGAGTTTGCAGCTGTATTTTTGGCTCTGGGAAACCATGTGTGTCCGTGTCCACGCAAAAAGACTTTCTTTTTTTGTTTTTGGTCCCTGCCCCGCTTCTGTCTTCAGCCAGTTTGGAGGCCCAGCTGATATCGGGCCTCATCGCTCAGGCTGTCACTGGAGCTGTCTCGAGGCCCTTTGGTTCTGTTCAGTCATTCTGTCGACGGGCCGTCCGGTCGCAGCCCTCCTCCTCTGTCAGGTGCTTCATGTGGGAGCGGAAAAGGTTCTGAAGTCCTCCACTTGTTCACCTCTTCATTTGGACACTTCCGTCTGTCAGCAAACAAGCACCGCATTCTCCACCTGCGCCTCCACAAAGGAGCCTTTATGCCTCGGTATCAGAGCGGCCACGACAGAGCGGGGAAATGGGATTTTCTGTCTGTGGTCAAGTGTTTTCCTGCAAATGTTCTTTCTGATTTAATAAAATGTCTCTCCCAGAAACACAACGGACTAGATTTAGGGTTATAAGTTATTCACCAACAACTGATGGAACATCCCAAAGTCTGAAATGAGAAAAAAGTCATAATAAGAGATGAGACGAGAACCTGCATTTGCTCACGGTGGAAAATGAACTAACTGTGTCCGTCCCATCTGTGCTCATCTGTGCTCATCTGTGCTGATCTGTGCAGAGCTAGTTAGAGCGTGACAAATCCACAGTGTGCGTTGAAAAGGCGTCAGAAACAACAAGCTGGTTTTGTGGCAGGGATTTCCTCGTCCCGGTGCAGAGTCGTGCTTGTGGACAGAGGAATGCAGCAGAACATGTGGTGCCTGGGGCCGGACGAACAGGTGCTCCAGGCTCTTGTCCGGGCTCTTGTCGTGAGAAGACGAGGCCGCTGGGAGCAGAGGAGGCCAGGTGTCACCGTGGTCTCTGTGAGAGTCCGGATCCAGACCGTAAACCTGATCCAGGACTGCGGAGCGTTTAGCCAAGTGCCGGCCCATAAAGTCAAGTGCATGAACGGGGAGAGCGTTAGCCACATTTAGAAACAGAAAGTTAGCTAATGGTTTTTAGTGGTCATCGGGTCTCATTATGGGTCACACACAAAACCGCTTTGTGACTGGTCCGTGACTCTGGTCTGTGACTCTGGTCTGTGACTCTGGTCTGAGACTCTGGTCTGAGACTCTGGTCTGTGACTTTGGTCTGAGACTCTGGTCTGTGACTCTGGTCTGAGACTCTGGTCTGTGACTCTGGTCTGAGACTCTGGTCTGAGACTCTGGTCTGTGACTCTGGTCTGAGACTCTGGTCTGAGACTCTGGTCTGTGACTCTGGTCTGAGACTCTGGTCTGTGAGTCTGGTCTGAGACTCTGGTCTGTGACTCTGGTCTGTGACTCTGGTCTGAGACTCTGGTCTGAGACTCTGGTCTGTGACTCTGGTCTGTGACTCTGGTCTGTGACTCTGGTCTGTGACTCTGGTCTGAGACTCTGGTCTGTGACTCTGGTCTGAGACTCTGGTCTGAGACTCTGGTCTGTGAGTCTGGTCTGTGACTCTGGTCTGAGACTCTGGTCTGTGACTCTGGTCTGTGAGTCTGGTCTGAGACTCTGGTCTGAGACTCTGGTCTGAGACTCTGGTCTGTGACTCTGGTCTGTGACTCTGGTCTGAGACTCTGGTCTGTGACTCTGGTCTGTGACTCTGGTCTGTGAGTCTGGTCTGTGACTCTGGTCTGAGACTCTGGTCTGAGACTCTGGTCTGAGACTCTGGTCTGTGACTCTGGTCTGTGACTCTGGTCTGAGACTCTGGTCTGTGACTCTGGTCTGTGAGTCTGGTCTGTGACTCTGGTCTGTGACTCTGGTCTGAGACTCTGGTCTGAGACTCTGGTCTGAGACTCTGGTCTGAGACTCTGGTCTGAGACTCTGGTCTGAGACTCTGGTCTGAGACTCTGGTCTGTGAGTCTGGTCTGTGACTCTGGTCTGAGACTCTGGTCTGAGACTCTGGTCTGTGACTCTGGTCTGAGACTCTGGTCTGAGACTCTGGTCTGAGACTCTGGTCTGTGACTCTGGTCTGTGAGTCTGGTCTGTGACTCTGGTCTGAGACTCTGGTCTGTGACTCTGGTCTGAGACTCTGGTCTGTGACTCTGGTCTGTGACTCTGGTCTGTGAGTCTGGTCTGTGACTCTGGTCTGAGACTCTGGTCTGAGACTCTGGTCTGAGACTCTGGTCTGAGACTCTGGTCTGTGACTCTGGTCTGTGACTCTGGTCTGTGACTCTGGTCTGTGAGGGGCGCTATATAAATAAACATTACTTACTTATTATGTGATTTTATAGAATGTAAATTTGTGCATAAACTACTCCCAACCTGAGAGAAGCCTCTATCAAAAATGTTGTTCTCAGTTTTTCGTTATGTATTAATTTCAGATGTTGCAGACGATACTGACTATTTCAGGCACAAAATAAGTAAGTAATGTTTATTTATATAGCGCCTTTCTCAGACCAGAGTCAAAGTGGTTTATAATTGTGTGCATAAAGCCTGGTTCACACGGCAGGATATTTAGGCCGATTTAGACCCAATTTACCCCTTACGACAATCTTAAGAAACGCTCCGATTTCCGTAACAAAATCTTACAGATTATCCTGCCGTGTGTGGTGTGTTAAGACTGCACTCGTCGCTCGGAAGGACATCGGGACTGCTCCCGATCTCAAATCGGGGATATCCAACATGTTGGATTGTTTTGGCCCGATTTCTTGTCGTGTGTGGTGTCCTCCGAGGACAAGCGAGCGCGTTGCCATGACTACGGCGTGTAGCCAATAAGAAGACGAGGTGACAAGCCGGTGAGGAAACACCGGAAAAAAACCAAAACACAGCAGCATGGCTTTGACCATTGCCTTTTCTTTGGATTACGTGTCTTCTCTGTTAACAACAAACTGCACACTATCGCCACTGCATCCTCTTCGTCCGCCATGACTGTTTACTCTGAAGTCACGCTTGATCTCGAGAGATTTTGTGAGATTTCCGTCTGACCTGGGAATGCTCGGGGGGGGGGGGGGGGGGGGGGGGGGGGGGGGGGGGGTGTCGGTTCGTGTGTGATGTTTGTGGCTTGCGTGATCTTGCCGTGTGGCTACGCACCACACACTGCACGACCAAAGTGGTTAGACGCAGGATTTTTAATCTCCCCGTGTGGGGTCTAACACGGAGAAAAATCGGCCGACAATTTTAAAATCGTCTCGTGTGAACCAGGCTTTAGTTTCTCACACAGAGAGCGAGGCACAGACCTATTGTACA